TAAGTAAACAACCATTTCATGATAATGACATCATTATAATCTTTCAATTACAATTTAGTACAATCAAGTCAAAATTTAAACAAGTTAATAGATACCACCAGTTTATCTGGTAGCATGAAAACTGGATGCATGAATCCTAAGTTCTAGAGCTTCATATCTGATTTTTACTTTTAAAAAAAAAAGAGAAAACAAATAACCTACAGACTTTCATTTTTATTGTTTTCCAAGAATATGAATATTCTGACCAAAGTCTGCAGCAATAAACAGAATTATCTAACCAACAGTCAGAAAAAGACCCTTTAAAAAACAGACTGCCACAGTAGAATTGTTACATTTCCAGTCACTATCACTCTTTAAAAATCCTGGAGATTTCCCAACACTGAAGAACAGAGAGAGAGGAGAAGCAGCTTCACGGAATGTGTTCACTGTACGTGCGCATGTGTGTGTTACTGTTCTTAATCCAAAAAGGTAAGGTTAGGCTTATACCTCAGCGACACATTTAGGACACCTCCAGTCTCCTTTGGGCACATCAGGTAATGGGGGAATTAAACAAAATGTATGATAGCTGTCATCACATCCATCACACAACAGCAATTTATCTTCATTATTTCCCCGACCACAAAACATACAAACGTAAAGATCAACCTGTTAAAAAAACAAAATAAAATAAAAATTTATTTTCTGTAATAAGTAATATTAAATTTTTACCACGAACACCTTAATTGAAACAAACAAAATAATGTACACTAAAAAGTAAACATAACTTAAATCCTTAATATTTATTCTAAATAACTGTATTTAAATAGCTTTGTATAAAACTTCCTAAATTTCCTCAGAGCTTCTACAAGCAAATTAATAAAAGCATATCAAGGTATGAGAATAAAGGAAGACTACAAATCTAGGGTACTTGAAAGTCAATTTATATAAATAAAATATACCACATCACCCTTTCTATACACAAATACTCTTTATTGGTAGAGGACTGAATACCGAGCATTAATACAGCTAAGGATTTACAGTTTTACTTCATCCTCTCACTCACTCACTTACAAGGTATAAGACTCAGGGAACAGTCTGTGTATATGGGACAAAGCAAAGTTGGTATTATATAAACCAAAGCTGCAAGTTCAGATGCACCATCAAGTCTTACAACTAAATAAACTCACTAGATAACATACTAAGATATAGCAAGGTAAAAAGTGCAAAACTAAAATAAAAATAAATCCTTTCCCTCCTGACACATCTCAGAACACTTACAAAGTTAACAGAGAGAGTTCCTTTCCGTTGTCTCATTTGCATGTTAAATGCGTCTGACCTGTTGGTAACTTTTCGTCTTCGGGAGACCTCATCTTGAAATAAAAATAGTTATATAATAATAATAGTAAAAACTAATGTTGAGAGCTTACCATGGACCAGACACTATTTTAGATTATTTAAATTAGTTAAAATCTCACAACACTATGAGGTAGATAAACTATTATCCCCCACTGAAGATAAAGAATCTGAAGCACAGAGAAGCTAGATAACTTGCCCAAAATCACACAGCCAGTCAGTGGCAGACAATCAAGCTCCAGAGAGCTCAGCTACTAGTTCTACACTGCCCACAGGTAGTACTTATCAGGGACTAATCTGGGACTAGCTTTGAGATCACTGCCAGCTAATACAATTACAAACATAAAAAAGATAAAGTACCTAATCTTTTAAAAGAGCAATAGTAAACATTATAATGTATCTAGAAGTCCTATCACACTGAATGCTTTGATAGTGATGGAAGAATATTACCTGATTATCCAGAGTTCAATCCACAATCTGAATAAAGACTTAGTCATATCATAAAATGCACAGTAATCAATATGACTTGTGATTATAGCACTTCATTAAATTCTTATACAGTAAAAACATATCCAACACAATCTTTGTTAAATTGAGCTTTAAAACTAACATGCACATAGAACTGTGAAACTTGATCTCTGCATTAGCAATTTTACTCACAAAAGTTTCTAGCATGCTAAGCTGAGAGCACCAGGCATTCTTCAACAGGTTACGTAAATGAAGTACCATAATATGCAAAGGTGATTAAAGAAAAATATCAAAATTATGGTTAGAACCTAAATCATTAGCTCTCCCCAGTATATTTTGATACTAAACGTCAGAGAAATCCTCTATTTCTCTTTAAATTTAAAAATAATAAGCTCTAGATCACCAGGTGAGAACCATTAATTTTGCAATTCTTTTATAAACTAGCCTTTAGAAACTACAATTTCTGTGTCATGTGTTAGACATGGAGGAGGAACTTTCTCTTCCAAAATATTACAAAAATTCAACATAATGTGGCTCCTCACACCTTAAGATTATCTGCCACTAAAAAGGTTATCTGTCTAGGAACAATGTTGCCTAAGAAAATCCCAAGGCAGACTACGATCGAGGATCATATGAATCTTGTTATAACCATATTGTTGTACCTTATTTCTTTTCATGACCAAATAACAGATTTACCTTCTTTATCTTTTACTCCCATTGCCAGGCCCACAACCTTAGGCCCAGCCCCAAAAATCCGAAGTTTCTTCAGTTCCGTGTTTCTATTCACTTCTCCAGATTCTGACTAAAAAAAATAAACTCACATTAGTCTAATTATTGTGATTCATAAATTTATTTTCTTACTCAAGAAAAGTCTCAAGATCCGATTCAAATGAAGGAAAATTTTCCTTTTTCTAAATCCACTTGCTGCCTCATTGCTGAAGTCACCAAAGTGCTCTGGGACACCCAGATTCTTCCCACAAAAGGAAATCTACCTTCCATACAAGCATAGCTGTCAATTAGGTTCTGTCCAGAGACAGACACTGCTGGAAATTACTGGTGTAACAGTGGTAATAACTTGATAGAAATGCCCACCTCCAACTTGCTAATGGACACCCATCTTTGATTAGGGCAATTATGCCCATCCTAGGAGATGAATAATGACTGTCCTAAGTCAATCATGCCAATGCCATTTCTCTTTGTTGGCGATCACCTAGCTAAGGGTGGGAACGCTATCGTGTTCTAGCCAGTGAGACGTAAGGAAGGTCTACTGGAAACCTCTGGGAAAGATTTTCATCTAATAAAAGAGAAAGCATCTCAGAGAGTAAGTCCTTTTGACCCAACTTCCTTCCCCACTGCTACAAGGCTCAGTCTGATGGAAGCACAGTGCTGGACTCTACGGCAGCCACAATGCAATTAAGAGGAGATATATACATATCACCCATACACTGAAGGCGGCCAGGCAGGAAGATGGAAAGAGCCTGGTCCTTGATGACAATGTGAAGTTGCTATACGAATCCGAGAACTACTTATCTCTGAAAATCTAATGTGGAAAATGTGTCCGCATGTGAAAACTGTGTTGTCAATGTTTAAGCTACTGTCATTTGGCATTCTAGTACTTGAGGATGAAAGCATCATGACAGACACCAGTGTTACACCTTGAATTTAGATAATCTCTGAATGCAGGGTAATAACCAAAATTTACTTAAAATATACTTAGTCGGTAAGAATAAAAATAAACCAGGATAAAATACAGACTACTTTATAAGTCTATGGCGACCTAACAGCAGACAGACACAGGCAGCCTGGACTACTAAAAGAGCACATAAGAACCAAACCAACCAAAATGGCATTTCAAAATGTATCTTTAAACTTTGGTAGGCTGACTTGGTTACATTAACCTACAGTCAGTCCAATGAAAAACATTAACACTACACATTCTTTTTTTTTTTTTTTTTTTTTTTTTTAGACCAGAGAGACACTTGCCTCAGGTGCAAAATTCAAGAGAAATTCAGTAATCAAGATAAAGAATACTTTGATGCAATTTTTTTTTTTTTTGCAGTATACGGGCCTCTCACTGCTGTGGCCTCTCCCACTGTGGAGCACAGGCTCCAGACGTGCAGGCTCAGCGGCCATGGCTCACGGGCCCAGCCGCTCCGCAGCATGTGGGATCCCCCCCAGACCGGGGCACGAATCCGCGTCCCCTGCATCGGCAGGCAGACTCCCAACCACTGCGCCACCAGGGAAGCCCCTAACACTACACATTCTTTACCACTGTTAAAGCAAAGTACATAGTAATAAAAGCTAACATAGTCAGTATATAGTACATGCCATATCAAAGTATTCTAGTCAATTAATCCTTACAACCACCTTTTCAGACAAACAATAAAGTCCCCAAAAGGAGAAATAATATGACAACATTCTCTGATCTTACTGGCATAAAGCTAGAAATAACATCAAAAATCAAAAGGCCCAGGCTTCCCTGGTGGTGCAGTGGTTGAGAGTCCGCCTGCCGATGCAGGGGACATGGGTTCGTGCCCCGGTCCGGGAGGATCCCACATGCCGCGGAGCGGCTGGGCTCGTGAGCCATGGCTGCTGAGCCTGTGCGTCCGGAGCCGGTGCTCCGCAACGCGAGAGGCCACAACAGTGAGAGGCCCGTGTACAGCAAAAAAAGAAAAATCAAAAGGCCATTCCACCTGGAATTTTTTCTCTATATATACATATATCACATACATCATATATCAGAATCTCTGAAACAAAGGAAAGAAGTAATCACAGGAAATTCTATAGTCTTAAACACAGCAATCAAAGCAAAAGAGCAGGAATAAATGAATTAAGTTCCCAACTCAAAATGCCAAGAAAACAATTACAACATAAACCAAAAGAACTTTGTGATGCTGGATTAGGACTAGAATTATCAGTATGAGCTGAAAATATAAAGTCACAATTTTTAAAAATTGATTTCCCAGCCCTGACCACCAGAAGGGGCTACAAGCAATGGTATCCCAGAAGGAACAAGCACACCTTGTGCTCAAATCTTGGCTTCTAAATACCATTTCCCACTAAAGTGAACCAGGATTCCTTGGAGAAATGGTTGATTCCAGGTCTAAGTCACAGCTGATTCCAGGTCTAAGACAATGGGATTCTTTGTGCTAGAAAGTAAGTGCTCAAAAACTGATGGAGAGGGCTTCCCTGGTGGTGCAGTGGTTAAGAATCCACCTGCCAATGCAGGGGACACGGGTCTGAGCCCTGGTATGGGAAGATCCCACACGCCGTGGAGCAACTAAGCCCGTGAGCTGCAACTACTGAGCCTGCGCGTCGAGAGTCTATGCTCCGCAACGGGAGAGGCCATGGCAGTGAGAAGCCCGCACACTGCGATGAAGAGTGGCCCCAGCTCGCCGCAACTAGAGAAAGCCTGCGCACAGCAACGAAGACCCAACACAGCCAAAAATTAATTAATTAATTAATTAATTGATTGATTAAAAAACCAAAAAAACTGATGGAGATTTGTCAAAGAACATATGAACCTCTTGAAGGGGCTCCCGTTAGCCAAATTTGGAACAATTCGAGTATCAAAAAGGAATAAAAAGTAGTCATAGGTTATAAGACATTTATCAAAAAACAGTCATGCTCTATAGTGAGACTAAACAGGAGGAGGGTCACTCAAGGTCGGTCCCACAGGTACATACATTCATCACAACTCATCAAACTGTACACGTAAGATATACACATTTCACTGTATGAAAAATAATCAAGCGTGGGAGAAGAGTTTTTTAAAGAAAAATGCTAACTAATAAACGTAGAAGAAATGACAGAACCAGAAAATCACCTGGTTTGCAACCACCAACATAATTAACTAAGGCAAGGATTATCAATGAATGTTAAAACTACTGGGTAAAACAAGTTAATGGAATAATGGAAATATTGTTATTGAAAAATAATGGAAAGTTAATGGAAAAAAAGTTATTCCCACAGTCTTATAGTTTACTCTGATTACTTTTATTACAAGGAGAATAGTACATTATAATGAAGAAATGCTGGCTCAAACTTAAGTGTCACCAAAAATGGGACATACTGGCATTCTAATGTATAAGTGTTAAGGGTTTGGTCATTCTTGATATAAACAAACTGCAGTCTCAGCTTTCAAGGAACTCATTCTAGTGAGGTCACAGTAAAAAGCAATTAAAGCAGAGTATATCAAGTGATGTGACAGAGATAGGAAAGGGAAGTAGGATAACTTTCTTAACTTCCATTTCTTGTTTGGGAAACTATTCGATGGCTGTGCTTGTCACTATCACCAAGCTAGAAAATATTTTTTAAAAAAACAGATTTAGAAAAGGTGATGATGTTTGTGACACACTGAGTTTAGCTGTGTGTGGCCACCAAGGCAGACATATACGCGCATGCACTCAAGACCCCTGGTGAACAGGGAAGCAGCACGGACGTCATGACTTATTTAGGAGTCCTGAGAGATAGGCGGTAACGAATCACAGGGTGGAAGAGACAGCTGGGTAGAGTGAAGCTAAGGAAGACCGAGAGCACTACATGAAGGGCAGAGAGAGGAGATGACGAAGATAACTGAGGAGTGGTCAGAGTGACGAGGGAAACAAGAAGAGAGGTGCCACAGAAGCCAAAGAAAAAGCAAATTTCAAGAAATGCAAACGTGATCAGAGATGAAGTAGGTTAAGAAATGAAAAAGGGGCCTCCACATCTGACGATTATTAACTCTGTGGTAACTTGAATAGTGTAGTTTCAAGGAAATTATTTAGCTCAAAGTCAGATCGCAGGGTTTAAAAACTAAACATATACTGAGGAAACTGAGAAAATATAGATGATTTTTCAGGGAACTTCTTCATGAAAAGAGGCAAGGAGTAAGGAACTAGCTAGGAAAGGATGGGAGTAGAAGGAATGCCCTCGGAGAAAAAGGCACACTCTGCCCACAGAGATAGGTAGAGGTTAAGAGTGAACACCAGATAGTTTCCTGTATGGGGCAAGAGGCTGAAGTTCTACCAGAGAGCCTTTGCTGCCCTTCTGAAATAGAAGACCAGGAATGAGGCAGACATTCATGAAGGACAAACTGCAAGTTGAAGAAATTCTTAATCGCAAATCCTCTTATGGTTCTAATGTCAATCAATCCGACTACGGGAACAATTACTGCAATGGGTAAAAGCATTCTGTGTAGTCCCTATTCTTACATAATGAATGGCATCATTATATAATCTGATGAAAGGCAATCAGAAATAAGCATGACTTTTTTTTCATGGTTTCAGAAGGAACATCAAGAGATTTCATCACAAGCTGGCAACTGATTAAATGGGCCCACTTGGGGCAACTCTTCAAAGTTGAGTCACCATGTCAAAGAGACTAGTCTTCAAGTATTTCAGGTCTTAAGATAGAATCTTCACTACATACCCAAAGACGATCAGAACTTCTGAGATCAACCATGGTAATAAAAATCACTTAACAACTAAACCAGAGTTTACTAATTTAAAATAGAGCTATTGGGACTTCCCTGGTGGCGCAGTGATTAAGAATCCACCTGCCAATTCAGGGGACACGGGTTCGATCCCCGGTCCGGGAAGATCCCATATGCCACAGAGCAGCTAAGCCAGTGTGCCACCGCTACTGAGCCTGCACTCTAGAGCCCGCGAACCACAACTACTGAAACCCGCACACCCCAGAGCCCGCACGCCTCAACTACTGAAGCCCGCATGCTCTAGGGCCTGCGTGCTGCAAATACTGAGCCCAAGTGCTGCAACTACTGAAGCCCACGCGCCTAGAGCCCGTGCTCTGCAACCACAGAAGCCACCACAACAAGAAGCCCGTGCACCGCAATGAAGAGTAGCCCCCGCTCGCCGCAATTAGAGAAAGCCCGCGCGCAGCAATGAAGACCCGATGCAGTCAAAAAAATAAATAAATTTTAAAATTAAAAAAAATAAAATAGAGCTATCACTTTCCAAAAATTTCCATTAAATTCACATGCCCCATTCAAGACACCTACCTTTCTGCTATCAGAGTACCTAAGAAGCTAAATTATTAATGAGGAGGTTATTTAGCGAGCATAAACTCAGAACAAGGAAAGTAGACATGGCAGGAAAGAGACACATCCCCTGAGCTACAGAAAAGCAAGATGAAGTATCATTAGCCTGCCTCTACAGTGACAGGACTCCTCACAACCCCAGATCCAGTGTCTCTTGTTAATAGTGAACCCACTTTCCATGTGAACCACTTCCATCCTTAAATGTGTTTAGGACCCAGAAAAGCTGCTGTTCCAGTTCACCCATATGTTAATTTAAATGGGCCATATCTCAAGAGTCCTAAGGGCACCTCACTCTCCCCAGCCTACAGATTGTCTTTACCAAAAACCTTTAGAAACACAACTTCGAGGACCACAAAGAAATGGGAATAGGAAAAAGGTGGAGGGGAAGAGGGGCAGACACAAAGAAATCAGGGCATTTTTCTTCCGATGTATTCATTAGGCTTTAAAATTATTCCAGGTCAAAAGAACACTGTAGAAATTACACTGGAATGGTTCAGAGACTAAGAAACTTACCCACTGGTTTTCAAAGGAATGATGAGTAAAGAAAAAACCACTCTTT